AGACAGACAGACAGACAGACAGATGGTTTAGAAAGAGAGACAGACAGACAGACAGACAGATTGGGAAATGATTGTGTTACAGCAGCACGTCCAGAGATCTGCACATAAAGTGAAGTAACAATAAAACAGATGTGAAGAATTCAAACAGCTCCAAATAAAATGTGATGAACATAAAACGTAGTAAAACCTGTGAAAAGTAAATGATACACGACAAAGTACTAAACATAGTAGAACAAGGAAGAAGCAGATAAACAAGAGATGGACAACTATGAACAAGACACACGTGTTCAAAAGTTGCAGCAGTGGCGATGTGGGTATTAATACGACTTAAAATAAAACACGAGTATAAGAATAACACGATGATAAAATACAAATACATGATCTGTGGAGGGCGGATCCCTCCCTCCGGGACCCTCCCTCTCCTGACAGTTTGCTAACCCGGACAGAGCAGCCCTTCTCCGGGTGAAGCCGCTGACAGACAGCCGGTGAAACTTACCTGGATTTGCTGGTAGTCCTTCTCTAAATCCTCCCATTCCCTCAAACACTCGCTGACTCCCGTGGGACTGAACAACATGTCTGCTCCGACACCAGAAACCTCCAGACACCAGTTCGAGCTCCGCCATGAAATATCTGCTCCCCCCGCTGTCAATCACACACCAACGAACAAGAACCACTTCCTGTCAGGGCCTTCAAAATAAAACCCACGCTTCATCAAACTCCTGACTTCCACTTAAGAGTATTTAGTGAAGAGTAAAAAGTTAATTCACGTGATTGATCACATGCCCTATGATATGCGTTCTTTAGAAATATCACCGCAGGTATGTTATTCTGCAAGAGCATATCTAATCATGTTTATAGATCTAATTATATTATTTATTATTTTGAGTGTCGTGTATTTTCGTAAAATTTGTTTTTATCTGCAAAAATGATCAGCATGGGATATAAATTAAATTGTATATATGTATCAATGGATACGCAGAGATTAACTAAGTGGCAATCGGTTTACAACACATGATTTAAATTAGAGAAAGATCTTTAACATTTATATATTTTAAATCAACTCATAAGAATTCTGGTTCATGATATCTCTTATAACTGCTCCCGTGAGTTTAGTCTGGAAAGCAAAGTAGCCTCTTTTATAAATCCAGCCTGTTTGACAGATTAACCATAAACTATGTGTCTGATCACACTCATCTTTAACATTTGAATGCTACTAGGTTTGGTGGGTTTCTGCAGGGAGCGCTCCTTCTCTCCTGCAAGGCAACACACTGGGCCCTCACTGCTCTCTATTTGGCATGTGGCCTGTATTTTTAGAGCTGGGGTTATGTGTAGACAGGGGAAAGTGTCATCTCCAATAATGTCAGGACCTCTGGCAGAACCATGTATGGACTCAAGCATGACTAATGACATTTAGGTCTACATGAGGCCGGAACAAGACAGCGAGTACACAAAACTATATGAGTTCAGAAAGCTTGAGGTGTCACTGTCACTTCTTTAATTTGTATTTCTTTTTGTCCCCTTTACCTGAGGAAATACGTGTATGTATGTGTATATATATTATTTACTGTATCCGTATACATGTATTCAGATGTCTGTATATATGTGTATGTGTATGTATATGTCTGTGGGTGTGTTAATGTATAGAAATGTATATATATATACTGTATATATATATATATACATACACATAGTCATATATACAAAAACAAATATATGTGTGCATAAATAATACAGTAGAAAATACAGTTTGATTGGTTTGCCTGCCTGTCAATCATGACTCACCTGTGGTAATTGGCCTCAGGTCAGGAAGCGAACAGGAGTGGGCGGGGCTAATGGCAATCACGGAGCAAACGGAAAAAGCGCGGAGGAGAAGAAACGTGAGGAGAAAGAGAGAACGGGAGAAACATGGCGGAACTCAGCGGTGCATAGAGTTCCGGTGTGGGTGTTAGTGAACATGGAGGCGAACACTGTGACTCCACCACAGTGATGGAGGCGAACACTTCTGTCTTAGCGTGCTAATGCTAACAGCGGCTAACGACAGGACGCCATTACTGACCGGAGAGGACAGGTGTGCTCTCCGAGGACGTCTCTTTCAACTCTTCAAACTGTCTCCAGGACCAACTTTGTCAAACTGTGAGTTAAAGTCCCTTCATTGTTTGGAATGTGGGAAAGAAGCTCAACAGAAATAATTGCGTCTTTTATCATTTACCCCGTCAGCCATTAGAAGACACCTTAAGAGTCAAGGAAACGTCCTGTACTGTCCAGCAGATTGGTTTTTACTGTAAAATATCAAACGGCAAACTACATCGATTGCACCTTGAGTTTCTAATAACGTCCTGTTATCTGTGTCCGTCTTATTCTGTGCCCCCCCCCCCTCTTAATGTCTGCAACAGCAGGACCCAAATGTCCTGAGATTAAAAAATGAATCCATAGAAGGGAAGTAGGCCCCAGTCAGATATTGACAACCTGTCAACACACAGTTAGAAGACTGCAGGCCTCCGACTGCTGAGCTCAGTAAATTATCCTTCCAGAGTGGGGAGGATACAAAGGTGGGGGACGGGACCATTTAGTTCGATGGTGAGTCAGGTCTAAAATGCAATAGATAATAATTATCATTATCAGGGTTTCCATCCTCTGTGACGCGTCGTAACAAGAAGCCCACACGGAAAAAGTGAAATATTAATAATATTTTCCTCTCTCGTTTTATTTGAGTTATAACATGACTGAGAATCAGTTTCACATGTTTATGTATGGAAGCAAATGTGTTCAATAAAATACGGTCTCTTGTTTGGCCAAAGGTTTTCAAACCTTTTTCTGAGACGTCTGTAGACGCTCGACTGAGACATCAAAACCTCGTCCTCTGTGAAGATCTGAGGAGTTCCTTTCCTTTCGCAAAAGAAACTGAAAACTTTCCACGTTGCCCCTTGACCTCTGAATGTCGCGCACAGTATTTCCTCTGCGTATTATTTCCTCTGTACAGAAAGTAAAATTTTTTTCCTCTGTTGCTCAATGTGGAGATTTCATGAAGCAGCTTGTTTTCCATCGAAAAGGAAATTGCGCAACTGTGTGAAACGCACCGAAAACTGAACATGACAAAGTTTCCTTCTTGTTGACACAAATGTATTTGGTAGATTTTATTGACTTTTTCCCAAGTTTGCTTAGAAAAATAATTCAAGAACATTTAAAAAACAAAAACTAACAAAAATGACTGCTACATTCACACGAGCATCCTGGGCCAGTAGGTGGCGATAAAGGCTTTATCAATGATCCACCAAATACCAGAGAAGAACACTGTGGTCCAAGCAACACTGGGTGAGGCAGACCCCTGTGTAATAACACGTAGCAGTGCTAACCAACTGGAAAGAAATCCGTATAAAGCAGCAGCAGTTGTTGTTGTTGTTTCTGGCACATGCTCATTACACAAAGCTACAGACAGGCATGCAGCTGCCCTTTGTAAGGTGTTTGTAAAATTAGTTTGTCACTTTAAGTCAGTTGCTTCTCACAGAAAAGTTAGATAGAGCAAGAAGAGTTTGTGTAGGGTGGGAAGTGGGAATGAAAGAGGAAACGTTCTCCTTGCTCCAAGTCAGTGAACCATCAAACTAATTTTGAAGCTGCTATTTTAAGGTAAAACAGTTGCATAGTGTTGCTTTAATATTACGGCTGCTATATGATATCTTGTCATTCACTACCTTGGCAGTAGCTGCTTGTGAAATTATCTGAATCTCTCTTAGTACCCTGTATACACACAGTCCCATTCCCAACAGCCCCTCTCTCACTCTCTTGCTCTCCTCTCAATTCTGTCGTTCCCCCGTCCTCCTGCTTTTCAATTCCTCCCCATCCCACGTCCTTCCATTCCCTGTTCATACTCCTTTCTCTCCCCATCTCCTCCGTCTCTTGGGCAATCTGTTGGCTGTTCAGGTAGATGCTGCTGTGTGAGACCATGGTGCTGGTGTCTCTGGGAGGAAGGTTAGCATCCATGTCTCTGTCCACCTCCAAGAAACTATTCGTGGTGGGTGTGAGGTGAGCCTGCAGCTGATCCTGACGTTGATACTTCCTCTTGCGTTTCTTTGCCAACTTCAAATCCAGTGAGGCATAATTCAGGTCAGTCTCCAAAGGCTGGTTTCAGACACAGAGACATAGAGGGCTGGTATAAAATAGTACAAATGTATGTGCTGCAGCACTGTGCAACAGTTTAGATTAAATGTTCTTTGTCTCTGGGATCTTGTGGATTTCCTGATATAATTTATTATTAGAACACCTTGTGCATAATTGCATTCACATGCTCAGTTTCTCTGACCACAATGTGTTTATGGTGTTTGCTGCTTTCCGTTTTGAAAGCGAATCTCTCAGCGTGTGCTAAGTTATTTTTAGCATAAAAACTACACAAGAACGATTCTAAAATAACATTTGTTTGTTGGCCTTATATTATGTCCACATTTTGTCCTCTGTAGTTTAAATGCAAAGCTTTAACAATCAGGTTAATAATTTATTATATCCCGAGAACAACAACGTAGAACCAACCTTGCTGCACAGAGGCATAATGGAGGATATTTCCATTCTGCCATAAGACTGTTGTCTCCACACATGCTATCA